TCATTGTGCAATTGGACGAGACTTCACCAACAGCCAACCTTTTTCTCCCCTTTTTCAATATTTTTATATCTGGATTTTTTGTTTCTCAAGGGTCCCTCCTAAGATTTTTGGGAGGGCTATCTTTTGAATTTGGGGAACTTTTTTTTTTACTGACAATGCCATCAAGTAATAAAGTTACCTTCTGTATTTGTGTTGAAATGTTGGGTATTTAGATGAGGCATAAATAGAAAAAATGATCAATGTGCTCAATAATTATCACATTTCCATTAAATGTAAAGCCACAATACAAGGAAAACAAAGCATTAATTTTCTCAACACCACTGTATTTAAAATTGCACAAGATAGTAGGCAGTGAACAGCATAAGTTTTTATTTCAAAATAAACAATACATGATTCTATGCACAAAAATCCATCACCCTAAACATACCTTCCAGATTGGTGAGGTCACAGCAAATGCATTTCTATCATATATTCACAAAGTTGATATGTATTTAACCAGGCAGTTGCTACCATTTTCACTATCTAAGACCTCAATCTCAGATTTAAAATTAATAATTGACACTGTGTCTATTACCTTGGCAGTTACTACATTTTCCTCATATAGTATCTCCTAAACATTTGTTGTCTTAAGCTAGAGATTCAACATTCACTTGCAAGTATTTCATTACCTCAGTGATTTCAAGTTTCCTAACTGCTAAAAACTGAAAGAACTGCGGATGAGAAAGGGTCACCGGACCTGAATGTTAACTCTGATTTCTCTTCATATATGCTGCCAGGCCTGCTGAGCTTTTCTAGCAACTTCTGTTTTTGTTTCCTATCTGCTAGTTATCTGCATGTTCCTTTGTTGCTGGTTTGAAACTATTCTCTTTACTTTGCAGCCTATCTCCCTTCCACCCGTCCAGTGTAGTTTCCCCTACTTTCCCACCTATTTGCAGCCCTCCTTTTTTTCCACTTCCAAAGCAAACCCCCTCTCTCACCCCTTACGGTCTCTCTCTCTTTCTCTCATGTACCCTTACCCCCTCCTTCCCTCTCCCCTACCCCTTTGTAGCTACCTTTTCTTCCTCTCCCCTACCCCCTTGAAGCTACCTTTTCTTCCTCTCCCCCACCCTCTTGTAGCTATCTTTTCTTCCTCTGTCCCTTACAGCCTTTTTCCCACCTATTCATCTGACAGCAGCTTCTCTGCCTCTGTGTGTTCTCTCTGTCTTCCTCCACTCCCTTGCAGACTTGTATCCCAATGTTTCTGAAGGACTTAAGTTTTGAAGGATGATGGGAAAATGTATTTATTTCAAGTATTGTGGAAATAGTTCGGATTCTTTAAAAGAAGTTATTGAAAGATCACTACATTCTGGATAATATTCTTAACAGGGCTTTCTAGAAATCACATGACTGGTGATAACTGCTTGCTTTGCTGTAGACCCTGCTGAAGGTGTTTGAACAGTGGAGGAACAAAACGTCTTGAGGAAGGGATGCCTAGCTGATCTCTCCTATTTCTGAAAGAAGTCCACTTGTTGAGTTCAAGATGACACCTATTTGTTTTTATTTTTAAAAAGTAATTGAACATCTCAATGCCTCACTATCAACACCCAGAGAGTTATAATTAAACAGAAACTGGATTGAACTAACCATATAAATACTGTGACTGCAAGAGCAGGTAGGAATGCTGTAGCGAGTAACTTACCTGCCGAAGCCATTCACCATCTACCAGGCACAAGTCAGGATTGTGATGGAATACTCCCCACTTGCGTGGATGAGTGCAGTTCCAACAATACTCTTGACACCATCCAGGACAAAGTAGCCCTCTTGATTGGCACCACATCCACAAAGATTCACTCCCTCTAGCCCAGTAGCAACAGTGTGTACCATCTACAGGACACATTGCAGAAATTCACCAAAGCTCCTTAGACAGTGCCTCTACCAGCCAGAAGGACGGGGCAGAGACAGGAAAACATCACCGTCTGAAAGTTCTTCTCCGATCCACTCATATCCTGACTTGGAAATATATCACCATTCCTTCAGTGTCATAGAAATATAGAAACACAGAGCGCGAGATGGCCATTTGGTCTTTCGAACTTGCTTCACCATTCCATATCATAGCTGATTCTCTACTCAACATTATATTCCTACTTTCTCTCCATACTCTTTGATGCCTGAATATACCTTTACTTGGCCTCCACAGCCTTCTGTGGTAGTGAATTCCACAGGTTCAATACTCTCTGATTGAAGAAATGTTTCCTCTTCTCAGTCCTAAATGGCCTAACCTATATTCTGAGATAGTGACCTTGGTTTGAGCCTCCCCAATCAGGGGAAACAACTTCTCTGTATCTAGTTTGTCTAGCCCTATCATGATTTTATGTTTCAATCAGATCCCCTCTCACTCTTCTAAACTCTAGTGAACAGGCCCAGTCAAATCAAACTGCCCTCATAGGTCAGTTCTACCATTCCCATTATTGGCCAAGTAAACTTTTGCTGCACTCAATCTATAGCAAGTATATCCTTTCTTAGATAGAAAGACCAAAACTACACACCGTAGTCCAAGTGTGGTCTCACTAAAACCCTGTCTAACTGCAGTAATAAATCCATACTTCTGAACTCAAATCCTCTTGCAATGAAAACCAATACACCATTTGCTTTCCTAATTGTTTGCTGCGCTTGCCTATCTACTTTCACTGACTGGAGTACAAGGACACCTAGATTCCTTTGTTCACCCACACTTCCCAATAGACAACCATTTAAATAATAATCTGCATTTCTGTTTTTCACACCAAAGTGTATAACTTCACATTTATCTGGATTATGTTGCATCTGCAGTTTCTGCCCACACAACTTGTCTAGGTCACCTTGAAGATTCCTTGCATTCCTCTTCGCTACTTGCAATCTTACCTAGTGTCATCAGCGAACTTGGAAGTATTTACACTTGGTTCCCTCATATATGTGCATAGAGTCATACAGCATAGAAACAGTCCTTCCAGCCCACCACATCCATGCTGACTAACAAACACCAAATTATACTAGTCCCATTTACCTGCCCCTATTAATAATTGGGGCCCAAGCATTGATCTCTTTGGTATACCATGACTATCACTATACCTTCCATCTGGAAAAAGACCCATTTATTCCCATTCTCTGTTTCCGGTCTGTCAACAAACTCTCCACTGGGTCAAAATCCTGGAATACCCTCTCAACAGCATTATGGGTATATTTAGTAGCAGCAGTTCAAGAAAGCAGCTCACTGTTACTTTCTCAATTGCAATTAGGAATGGGCTAAAAAGGCTGGCTCAGCCAACAAAGGCCATGTTCTGTGAATGAATAAATAAAAAAATCAGGTTTCTCCTGACCAAGCAACGTCTGCCAAGACTCCAGGGGCAACCACGTGTGATGAATGACTTGACCACATGTGCCAAAACATCAGAAATGACAGGCCTCAGAATGTTCTACATTATCACTTTTGATTTCAAGAATAGCCAGAAAGTTTTTTTCTATATTGAACCTTTTCATATTACACACTGCGAATGCTAGCCAAATATTGCATCTTCATTGAATACATTTTGATTTGATAATAAACCAATTAAATGTCTTTATTAAAGAAACATTAATGACATGTCTTCATAAAATCTAATAAATAAGATATTTAACTGGCCAACTTGGTAACTGGGAAATACATTTTTATTTTATGTTGCGACCCATGGACGAGAGCTAAAGTCCGTTCCTTCATCCGCAGTTGTAATACGGCTCCCTGTCTCCAATCATTCTTCACAGTTTCCCTGCTAACCCCACTCCCTTTGTGGCATCCACACCTCTCTCACCACCAACATTCCTCGTTCCAGCAGGCAGATATCTGCCTCAGCAAATGAGTGACCCCATCCTGGCCTTGGGAAAACGGTATAGCTCCCAGAACTCCTCAACCTCTTACCATCCACATTACTCATCTACGCACTCTGAATACCCCTACTACTGCTCCGGTCATCCTCCCCAGCCCTGCTCATTGCTCCTCCAATCACAGGCCACTATCTTCCGGTGTTTGATGCTGATAGACTTACTATTGAGCCTATCAGTAACAAACACAGGAGAAACCCAGCCTGGGATTGGAGGAGCAGCTCACGCCTGTTTTCTCTGATTGGTCAGAGAGGACTAACGAAGCAAGGGAGTACACATTGATGGAACCCTAGTAAGTACAAGGGATCAGAGGGACCTTGGTGTTCATGTCCACAGATCATTGAAGGAAGGGTACAGAAAGTGGTTAAAAGGGCATATAGCGTACTTTATTAGTCAGGACATTGAATACAAGAGCAAGTATGTTATGATGGATATGTATTATACCATTAGTTAGACCACAGCTGGAGTATTGTCTGCAGTTCTGGTTACCACAGTATAGGAAGAATGTGTTTGCACTAGAGAGGGTGCAGAGGAGATTTATAAGGATATTGCCCCGCTGGAGTAATTCAGCTATGGAGAGAATCTAGTTAGACTAGGAACAAAAACAGAAATTGCTGGAAAAGCTCAGTAGGTCTGACAGTATCTGTGGAGAGAAATCAGAGTTAACATTTTGGGCTCAATGACCGTTCTTCAGAACTAGTTAGACTGGTGTTGTTTCCCTTGGAGAAGACTGACGGGGGAGCCTGATTGTGGAAGACAAAATTCTGAGAGGTATCGATAGGGGGAAAGATAGGGATTTTTTTCACAGATGCTGCCAGACCTGCTGAGCTTTTCCGGCAACTTCTGTTTTTATTCCTGATTTGCAGCATCAGCAGTTCTTTCTGTTCTTGGTAGGGAGAAACTTCTCCCCTTTGTAGAGGGATCAATAACCAAGGATCAGAGTTTTAAGGTAGTGAGCAGTAGGTTTAGAGAGGACTTTTTTTCACCCAGAGGATGGTGGACACGGTCTAAAAGAATGATAGAGGCAAGAACCACAAGACGTTTATTTAGATTTATTTATTAACATTTATTTACATAACGCATACAGTGCCCCGCAATTGCGCTCCGCCCCCGGCCACACTGCTTACCTGATTGGTTGGACCCTGACCCGCGATTTGTACGGAGCCAATCAGCGACGCTTCAGGCCCATTCACAAAAAACGGCGGGGCCTGCCTGACATTCCTTCCGGGTTGTGGCAGACAGAAGCAGTGAAGGTGAGAGAGTGACCTGAATGTTAAGAGAATTAATTATAATTGTTAACGAATGATCTTAGCGATACCGTCACTCAACGACAGTACATGCACTGCTGTAACTAACTGCAGGAGCCAATAGAGACCTGTATTTACGGCCTGTCACTAGCTGAAGTCACCAATAGAGAAAGGATTGCAATATAGAGTTGCCGGAAAATTGAAACAGAAGCAGGGAGAGTTTCGTAGAGACTTCGCAGGTCTGGCAGCTTTTGTTGCGTGAGAAATAGTTAACATTTCAGGGTAGAGTTGATGAAAGGTATTTTAAACATTTTCTCTTCAATAGGTAAATACTGGCGAATGTAGGGAGGTAACCTAATTGGTTGGATTCTAACCAATAATGGCTGCAGAGACGGGAACTACAGGTCCCAATAGGGAGCTGGGCAGAGAGACACTGCTGTAACCAATAAGGACCTGAAAAAAGAGATTATAACTATAGGAACCAATAGGGATCAGGAAACTGAGACTGTAACTACCTACAGGAAATAATAGGGACAAAAACAGAAGGTGCTGGAAAAGCTCAGCAGGTAATTGTGTTGCCTTCTGAGGAAGGGTCACTGACCCCGAAAGTTAACCGATTTCTCTTCACAGATGCTGCCAGACCTGCTGTGATTTTTTTGGATAAACCTCTCTACAAGGAACAGGTGTTCCAGCATGGTCTCAGTACCTGGAGCATGACGCAGTCTCACAGTCTCTGTCCCCAGTCCCCAGCTCAATACAGCAGTATTTGCTTCGAAGAAGTCAAACTGGCCTTGAAACATTAACACTATGTTCTCAGCAGAGATGGTACTAGACTTGCAGAATTTCTCCAACAATTCTTGTTTTTCTTCAGATTTCCAGCACAGTATTTTCTAGTAATTTCTATTTTTGTTTCTGATTTCCAGCATCTGCAGTTCTTTTGATTTTGTTTACAAAATAATGGGGAGCTCGGTATAGAGCTAATAGCTAGTGACTGTAAACAGTATGGAACTGGGCAGAGACTGTAACTCCAGTAACTAGTAGGGACTTGGGTGAAGAGTTGTAACTTCAGTAACAAATAGCGGCTGGGTACAGAGACTATAGCCACAGGAACCAACAGGGAATAGGAAACACAAATTTTATCTACCTACAGCAATCATTAGGGAGCTAGAAAAGAGACTGTAACTACCTGCACCAACCAATTGGGAGTTGTGTCTATGGCCTGAAACTACCTACGGGAACCAATAGGGAATAAGGAACACAGACTGTAACTACTTAGAATACCCAATAGGAACTGGGTAGACAGACTGTAATTACCTACAGGTAGCATTAGAGAGCTGGGTTGTCACTGTAACTACCTGCACCAGCCAATTGGGAGCAGGACAGACAGAACTACAGAAACCCGTATGGAGCTGAGTACAGAGACTGTAACTACGTGGAGGAACCAATAGGGAGCTGGATACAGAGACTGTAACTACCCACAGGACCCAATAGGGAAATAATAGCAAAATACTGTGCTGAAAATCTGAAGAAAAACAGAAATTGCTGGAGAAACTCTGCAGGTCTAGTACCATCTCTGCTGAGAACATAGTGTTAATGTTTCAAGGCCAGTTTGACTTCTTCGGAGCAAATACTGCTGTATTGAGCTGGGGACTGGGGACAGAGACTGTGAGACTGCGTCATGCTCCAGGTACTGAGACCATGCTGGAACACTTGTTCCTTGCAGAGAGGTTTATCCAAAACAATCACCTTGGACCACAAGTCCATCAGACAGTGCTCAGCAATAGTATGGTCCCTAAGTTGCATGTGTGTACCAGCTCCAACATACCGTGCATGGTAATCAGCGTGCCAACATGGGTCTCTGCATTGACTCCCAGTAAAAAAAAAAAAGTGGGAACACTAGTCAGCATGTAATGTTGCTGAGGCTGTACAGCCTCAGCAGAACATTGATCCCCAAACAGACGTCAAAGACATTTGGCTGAATGGCTCATCTTCAGAATTTACAAAGATGTGCAAAGACATTGCTTATTGAAAAATATACTTTTCATATTAACTCTTTATGTACATACACAGGTACTAAAGCAGTTCTGTACAATCTTTGAATATCAAGAAAAAACAACATTGGAATTTGTCTTTCCCTGCAGTTACGAAAACCAAAGGCTTTTCCTCCTCATGAAGGATACTATTTACATTGATTTTGAGGCAAAGAGAGGTCTGAAAAACTGACAAACTCTGTTGTACTTTGGCAGAAAGACCTTAGACATTGATCATGTCCCACAGTGTCTTGGTGGCAGCTGCCCTAGCTTTAGCGCATCCCTCAGCACATAGTCCTGGACCTCGGAATGTGCCATTCTGCAACATTCAGTCGAGGTCAGCTCCTCACTCTAGAAGACCAACAAATTTTGGGCAGACCAAAGAGCATCTTTCACCAAGTTGATGGCCTTCCAGGCACAGTTGATGTTTGTCTCAGTTGTGTCATGGAGCTGTTAAGGACAAACCTCAACAACAACACACTGCATTTCTTTCCAGACTTCCTTTGCAAAGGCACATTCCAGCAGGAGTAGGGATAGCAAGAACTGCTGATGCAGGAGTCAGAGATAACACAGTGTGGAGCTGGAGGAATTTCTGAAGAAGGGTCCTGACCTGAAACGTCAGCTTTCTTGCTCCTCTGATGCTGCCTGGCCTGCTGTGTTCCACCAGCTCCATACTGTTACATTCCAGCAGGAGATGTGTGGCAGTCTGTACCCCCTCACACAGCCATTTTGAGGACAGTATGTGGTGGCACACAGACTCTGGGCGTACATTAAGGATCTCATATGCAGTGCCCTTCTCACCACCAACCAAGGAAGGTCACGGTGCTTGTTGGAAGGTTCTGGCAATGAGGCATTCTGCCAAATGATTTTGACAGTCCGCTCAGAGAACAACCAAATGGGATCCACCCTCTCCTTGTCCCAGAGGGTCTTGAGGACACTACATGCTGACCACTTCCCGATGGACTTGTGATCAAAGGTGTTTTTCTTTGCAAATTTCTCCAAGAAGGACGGATGATACAGAATGGTTCAACTACTTGGAATGTTCTGCAGCAATGAGGGTGTCCCATCCTTCGTAATACTGGGGACAGGTAGAACCTCAATACATTTTGACACTTGGTGTTTGCGTACTGAGAGCCTACACACAGCTTGATGCAGCCAAGCACAAAGGTGGCCATCAGGATGAGGATGGTGTTGGGTACATTCTTCCCCCCCCTTATCCAGAGCTTTGTCATGATGTCCCTGCGGACACAGTCCATCTTTGACCTCCAGATGAAGTGGAAGATGGCTCAGGTGACTGCAACAGAGCAGGTTCAGGGAATGGGCCAGACAACACACAAACAAGGCAGGAGAGAGTGGGCAGCCCTGCCTGACTCCAGATCTGATTGTGAAACTTTCTGATTCCCACCCACTGAGACAAAACATATCTGCTCCTTGGAACCTGCAGCAATCCAGGAGGATCCTCTTCATGAAGATGGTCTGATCAGGCATGCCTTCCTCAGCCTTCTTCATGGTCATCCTGTTCCAGACAACCTGGCCTGGGACTCAGGTGATCGCAGTGGTCATAGCTCTGGTTGGCTGTACACTGATTTGGTGTTAGACTGAAGCCAGCATAAAGGTTAACCGATGATCCTCTGATGACCACTGACAATCCAGCGATGGTCTCAAAATCCTCCGATGATCCGCAACTTGGAACTTACACTTGGTCTGAGTCAAAAGGCTGAGAATAAGTATCACAATGTGCACATCTTGAGAAAGGCTCTTCCTGTCAGATCCTTCCTGCATGCTTGGAGTCTCTCTCTCCCCACACTTTGCTCTTGAGGTAATTGTGGTGGAGAAGATGTGTCTTTGAAAAGAGGATCTGGAGTGAGATGCAGTATTTTGATTGCAGTTTCTCCAAAGCAGCTTCCTGAAGCAGGACTTTGTTCTTAACAGGCTGCTCTTAGGGACACACAGAGACAAACGTCAACTACTGATGGAGGGCAAACAACGCAGTGAAAGATTCTCTGTGGTCTGTCTAAAACTTGCTGATCATCCACTTCAAGGAGTTGACCTTAACGAAGTTTTGCAGACTGACACATTCCAAGGTCCAGTACCATGTGCACTAAGTCTGGAGGCAGCCACTCAAGAGGTCCAATGGTGAAAGGTCACTACCTGGCACTTTACAGCCATAGTACATTGACGGGCTGGAAACTTTCCCTAATCCCAACCCTCAGGCGGTGTGCATTACAAAGAATGTATGTTGTAAATCAAGAGTATTGAAAATCTATCGAGACTCCTCGGTGGAATATCTTGTACAGAGGAATATATTATAGTTGTTTCACTTTCTGTAATTTCTAATTTGAATTGTTTTGTCCTCAGGCTGAATATGTGACATGGAACGTACTTTATATAGATTGTTACAATTACATGTTGAGGGGGAGAAGTTGATTTTCCCTGTAAATTCTGTAGTATTTAAGTCACATATTACAAATTTTGTGAATAAGGTATATTTTTGAAAACAGAATAGCAGGAAGCTGGTACAGTGACTGTAACCTTACTCAGGAGCCTGCTAACTGCTGGGTATGGTGACCAATTCATTTTACCAAACTTGCAGGTTTGAAGACAGTTGTCAGAGAGCTCCTGGGTTCTGTGCTTGGTTATGATCCCAGAGAGTGCTCTGATCATATGCTGAATGGTGCAGCCTTATAAACTGAATCTAAGAAAGGTCTAGGCCCGAAACATCAGCTTTCCTGCTCCTCTGATGCTGCTTGGCCTGCTGTGTTCATCCAGCTGTACACCTTGTTATCTCTGTCAAGAAAACTGCTCTTTATAAATAATACACTAAGCAGTTCTTTAAAATAATTCAGATCTGGCAGCATATATGGAGGAAAAGAAACAGAGTTAACATTTTGAGTCCAAAGACTCTACATCAGAACATTCTCATGAAGGGTGACTGGATTCAAACCATTAATTTAATTGTTTCTCTCTCCAGAGATGCTACCTCCTGCGTTCCTCCTGCGTTTCTCCAGCACTTTCTGTTTTTGTTTCAGATTTCCAGCACCTGCAGTTCATTGTTTTAACTTTAAAATAATTGCCTGGGCTGTAACAGTGATATTGTCATAGCTGCACCTAAACGACTTCTTGATGTCAGATTTGTCTGATGCTGACAAAATTGAATTCATTGCTCATCCTGTGTGTGCATTTCTTTCTGACTGAGTAGCTTGCTGGATGGATGAAATGGCATTAAGAACCAACTAGTATGGTTAGGCCAGAGTGAGTGAAAAGTAGCAGGTGCCCTTCTCTCCACTGTGCTTTTTAACAAAACAAATTTGAAAGTCTGCACAGTAATTTTTCAGGCCTTAGTTTCTAGAATCACAGAATCCCTATGGTGTGGAAAGAAACTGTTTGGCTCATCAAGTCTGCACCATCCCTCTGAAGAGCATTCCACCCAGACGTCTACCCTATCCCCTAAACCCCACATTTACCACGGCTAATCCACCTAGTCTGCACATTCCTAAACAGTACAAGGCAATTTAGCAATGGCCAATCCACCTAACCTGCATACCTTTGGACTGTGGGAGGAAATCCATGCAGGCACAGGGGGAATGTGCAAACTCCACATGGATAGTTGCCCAAGGGTGGAATCAAACTGGGTCCGTGGTGCTGTGAGGCAGCAGCGCTGAGTGACTGTGTCGCTGTTCTGGATTGGTCAAAATCCTCAATCTTTTTGGAACCTCTGGATTTCCAGGGGGTTGTGGTGATTGGAAGCAGAGTTAATGGCATCTTTCAGGACCTTTATCTGACAGTACTGGCTCAATACAAACTCCTCTGGGACGTGGGTGTCTAACTTCGTGGGAATGATGGCTGTGCTGTTGGAGAGGTCTGTGCATGTCCATGACAACGTGACAAAGTGAGAAACTACATTCTGAGCTGGTCTGTAAAAACGAGGCCCCCTCAGCCCTGAGCGATGAGCAGTGAATTGGACCTTGTCAGCATTAGTTAGATATGAGCAAGGATTGTGTTTTTAAGTTGCAATACTGATCCTGTTTAGTTGCAGTCGAGCTGGAAATGTCTGGCAGAGGAGAAATAGTGGGAGTGACACATAATGCAGGGTGGGGTGAAGTGACAGTGTTCCTGATTAGTGGACTGCTTTCTGCTGAGGAATTTAAAGACCTCCCTCTGGTGGATTTGAGAGTCTCAGATCTGAACACTGCTCCTTGTAGTGTGGCTCTGGGCTCTGCCTGTCTGTTGTTTGCCATTTTCTCATCGCAGTTTCCTTATTTCTAGATTCCTGAGTTCCCTGCTGAGCACGAGGACGATGCAGACTGAATCCCTCTTACACAGCGGCTACTCGCACCCTCTGCTCCGTGCCTGGCAGACCTGCACTGCCACCTTCAATGCAAACAACCTCATCTACCCCATCTTTGTAACGTAAGTGTGGGTGAAAGGAACTGTGATCCTGAAATTTGTCTGATTTTAAAACAAAAGTGAGTTGATGGAATATTCACAGGGAACCAAATCTGCTGCTCCATCATAAATGGCCGCACCAAGATTGGTCCAAGATTGAGCTCCATTTAAACCAAGGCCCAGGATGTGTGATAACTCTGTGACATTGTCCAAACCAATCTTTACTGCCTTTCTGTTTCAGTGATGATGCCAATGCGGACGAACCTATCGCCAGCCTCCCAGGACAGGCCAGGTAGGACTGACTCTCCTACAGGGTGAGCGAGTGAGGGAGGGAGTGAGTCGGAAGGAGAGGGGAGAAAATGGCAAGGGGAAGTAGTGAAATGAGGACAGTAACAGTGTGGTCCTGATAAGAATCCTCAATAATAAGAGAAAATTTAGGGGCGGCACGGTGGCTCAGTGGTTAGCATTGCTGTCTCACAGCACCAGGGACCTGGGTTTGATTCCAGCCTCGGGCAACTGTCTGTATGGAGTTTGGACGTTCTCCTCATATCTGCTTGGATTTCCTCCTGGTGCTCCGGTTTCTTCCCACAATCCAAAGCTGCAGAAGATTGGCCATCCTAAATTGCCTATAGTGTCCAGGGATGTGCAAGCTAGGTGGGTTAGCCATGGGGAATGCAGGGTACGGGGACAGGGTTTGAGGGTTGTTCTGGGTGGATGCTCTTTGGAGGGTCATTGTGAACTCAACGGGTTGAATGGCCTGTTTCCACACTGTAGGGATTCTATGATTCTATAATTCTATAACAGGCTGTAGTTTCGTAAGAGTTTTGGAGATTAAAGATGTTTCCCTGAAAAATGATAAAAAAAGACAAACTAGTTTTTGAGCAACTGTGTCTTAGGGATTTTCCTGAAATTTCCACCAGGAGTCAAAGCACATCTCCTGATTAGATTCCAGTTTAAATCATGGAAATGATTTATATTCCTTTTGTACAGTTTATAATTGGGAGACAATTTTGGGATTTTGGGCTTCCGCTGTCCCAGGGCAGGTTTTCACTGAACTAGTCCTGTCAGGGTCTGGGATCCTGAGAGATGGCTGTTAACTGTTGCTTTCGTCTACAGCAATCTCCAGATTCCATGCAAAATATATTGGAAGACATTGTGTGTGTCCACACTGAATAAATCTCACTAACCCTCCTCTCACTCTTGCTCTCACTTAAACCCTCTCTCTGCCCTGAGACCCTTTCTCTGATATGTCTCTGATATCCCCCTTTCTGAAAACCCCCCTCACACATGTCACACCCCACCCCTGTTGTGACACCCAATCTCGCTGACCTTCTCACCCCTGCCCCATCTCTTTCAGCATCCCTTCTTCTTACCAGACCTTCCCTTACCACAGTCTTACCCCTTTTTTTCTATCTCTCTTACTTTGCCTCTCTTTCTGTGCCTCTCTCTTTGTGTCTCCCTCCTCCTTCCCTCTTGTGTCACCTTCTCTGTTCTCTCTCTCTTTCTCTCTGCCACTTTGTCTCTTTTTTTATCTCTCTCTCCCCCTCTGTCTCCCTCCTCCTTGTGTCAACCTCTCTGTTCTCTCTCTTTCTGTCTGCCTCAGATTTTCACCATATACTTCCTAGCACACAAGATGTGGTTTAACCTGAGGCTCTAGAGTTGAAGCAAAGCCTTTTATGTTCCACTTCTCGAGATATAACACTCCATTAGCTGTTTAAGTTATGTTTTTTGAAGTATGTACAACTTGATTATTTTACAGGAGTCAGTGAGCAATGGGTTTTGTGTTTTTGCTGTGGAAGTGGTTCACTGCTTGTTCATGTAATGTATGCAGGACTGCCCAGTGAACTTGTGAAGATAACAGCAAAGCCTATCAGGAGTGGGACACATGGTGTAGGAACAGTCTCGCAATCAATCAAACAATGAATTGTGTGAGGCTGTCCCAGTGGGTGACTGTCTGTGTAGGAGCTGATATACCTTCACACTGTGGTCCCTGTGCTGTTGTGTTTGTGGCTAACTGCAGATGGATGTGGGCAGTGAGATAGCAGAGCTCCCTTCCTGTCAGTCTCAGTAACGTTGGAGCAGGACAGCCCTATCCTGATCTCCAGATCCTGATTTTCTGAGTGACATGCTCCTGATATGACACTGCATCTCCTGAAAGGGATACGATCACCCCAAACCAGATAGTAAACTGCTGCGCAGCCAAAACTGCAGGTCATGAGCAGCCTCTGCTGTTGTGTTCACTGTGAGCTGCTGGGTCTCCAGTAATTTGATTAAATTGGATCTAATGGCAAACTGTTTCCAGATAGTTCACTGATCTGGATCTATATTGAAATTTTCAAAAAGGTAAACTTACTCTGCAAATGTGATTTAAATATTTTTACTGTTGCAAACAAAGCTACACAATAACTTTAGTTTTACGCAGACCTGGGTTAATTCCCCCAGCCCCCTTAGCCTGGGACCTGTGTCTTCACCAGCTCAGAGGTGCCCCCAGCCTACTCTCCATTTAGAACCCCATGTTGCAATCCTGGAAGAAGCTGCCATTGTGCCAACTCCCACCTCCATCCAACTTCTCCTAATCTAGAAGACTCCACTGCTCCCCCGCCACAAACATCCCCATTAAATTCACCTGGAGTCAAATCAGATTGAGCAAAACTGGTCGTAAGGGTGCTCCGTGAATTGCTTCAAGAACAGCTTGTCTCTCCTTGGGTTGAGGGGTGAGTGTACATGGTAATCTCATAGCCCATTGCTGATAGCTTGTGCTGGGAGAGCAGGAATAGGGCTGGATATGGACTTGATGGCATATTGTTGGGGCAAAGTGAAAGAAGTCTTACTTGGCAGTGCCTGATGCTGACCACGGCTCAGTGACATGAGGTTTCCTTTCCCAGAAAGACCATTCCTCCCTTTGATAGATATAAATCTCTGAGGGAGCTGTTTAATTCCAAGATTCCATAGACTCTTTCTGGCTTTGTGAGTGGAGGACCTTTGATTCTCGTTCACTTGTGATCTGATTGGTATCAGTGAATGCTGTAGATTCAAGCTGATGACATAGAGTAATACAGCATGGAAACAGGCTCTTTGGCCCAAACTGGTCCACGCTGACCATGCTGCCCACTCAGCTAGTTCCAATTGCCCACATTTGGTCCATATCTCCAAACCCTTCTCATCCATGTACCTATCCAAATGTTTTTTAAATGTTGCTATTGTACCTGCCTCAAACACTTTCTCTGGCAGCCCATTCCATATACACACCCACTCTCTGTGTGAAGAAGTTGCCCCTCAGGTCCTTCTTAAATCTTTCCCCTCTCACCTTAAACCTATACCCTCTAGTTTTCAATTCCCCATCCCTGGGCAAAAAGACTGGATGCATTCATGTCCCTGTGCCCTTCATAGTATTATACACCTCAGTAAGGTCACCCCTCATTCTCCTACATACCAAGGAATAAAATCCTATCCTGGCCAACCTCTCCCTATAACTCAGGCCTATTAGTCCTGGCAACATCCTTGTAAATCTTCTTTGCACACTTTCCAGTTTAACTA